GAGTGTGCGTGGTGGGTGCGCCTAGAAGAGAGAGGAGAAAGACTATTCCGTCCCCCCCCCCTTTTTTTTTTTTTACTTTTTCTCCCTCCTCCCCTCCCTCCCTATATATTTCTATATATACATATATATATATATGTATGTGTATATATATATGCAAGCCTATATGTATATATATATTTCTGTTTCTAATACGTGCTTATAGGGACGATACTTTTCTGCCTTTTACCCCACCTTCTTTGCCAGCAACTGGGTGGCGCTTGTCTTTTTTTTCTTTTGTTTCCTCTTCCTTGCGTTATTTGAGCGCATGATGTTTCTTTTTTTGCTGCTGCTTTTTTTTTCTTGTCACATCACTTTTTAAGAGAGCTTCCTTCGGCCGTCTGCCACCTTTACACATTCTGTGGCGTTTGCCTTGCGTTGGTTATGTTGTTGGTGTTTCCCCCCCCCCTCTTGCTCTACCCCTTTTTTCTATCTTCAATTTATTTTCCCGTTTTGTACCGCTGTTTCTTTTTTTTTGTTTGTTTTGGTTTGCGTCTGAGGTGCTCCCTACTGGTGTGTGTGTGTGTGTGTGCTCTTGTCGTTTTGATCGTCTGTCTGTTGGCTCGTGTGCTGGTTTGTTGTTTCGGTTTCGGTGGTACTTTGGCCGTCGCCTTCGTCGGGGGTGCCCTGCCGCTGCCTCCGCGCCGCGGCTGCCTTTCGCCTGGAGTCGCTTCTCTGCCCTGTTCCTTTTGCTTTATTGAGCTATTCTTTTTTGTCTTCGTCTCCCTCCTCTCCCCTCCCCGCTTCACTGAGAAAAGGCGCGGACGGCGACGCGCGAGGGCCCTCGTCGTGCATTTCGTGCGGGAGGGGAGAAAAAAGAAAACAAAAGCACAATAAAAAATAAAGCAACTAAGCAGGCGACAACTAAGAGCGGTGGGGGATGAGCGGCGGTGCGGCGGGGGAGGCGACTGCCGAACGCATCGCGCGGATTGTGAGCCGCCTGGAGAGCCGCGCTTTGGATCCTGCACCCGAAGGCGAGGAGTGTGGGCCGTTCCTGCAGCGGCTGCTCTTGACCGTCGAGGAGACGCGAGTCGATGGACTTTTGGACGACATCATCAGCCGCGCGCACGCGACGTTTGCGCCATTGGCGCAGACGACTGTTGCTGCGGGCGACGATGCGGAGGCGCTGATGGCCGACGTCGCGTCGCGGGCAAGCCGTTTGGTGATTGCGGAGGCCTTGCAGCCGTCTGCCGCAACAACAACAACAACAACAACGACGACCGCCTTCTCCTCGCCGCCCTCGTCAGAGTCCCTGTCGCGTGTTCAACAGGCCGCCTGGTGCCGTATTGGGCAGTTGTCCCTGCGACTGATTCGAGAGTCAACCAGCGGGATTCAATCCGTGTGGGGTAGTGGCATCAGCGACGGCGGGGCGCAGCAGGTGCCGGTGTTGCTGCAGCGTCGTCTTGCTTGGGGGTCTGACGCGAAGGACGGGAGTGAGAGTGAGGCTCGCAGCTGTGGGCGGGGAGACTCACCGATGGTGTCGGGCTTTACGCTGCAGTGGGGCGCGGTTTTGCTTTTTCTGCACCTCCTCGCAGATGCAGCCGGCTTGAGCAGCTCGGTGGGAGGCGCATGCACGGTCTCTCCCTCGAGAGACAGTCGACACCCGCTACCACACATTGTTGCGGATTCCGTCACTGTAATGATGGAGCGCAACCACTTCTTGTTGCAGCAGGCACGCGACACGAAGCAAATTGGGACGGCGGCGGAGCTGCTAAATGTTGCCGCGAACAATTTTGCGTGGATTCAGCGGCACTGTGGTGGGGTGGCAATGAGCGACGCACTAGAGGTGGCGGAGCTCCTCACGCAGAGCCTGGCGGTCGTACTGCAGGACATCATCGACGGTTTGGTGGAGGAGCTGCGATGCGTGCTTTTGATGTATATTGCGCCTTGTGGCGTAAGCGGCGGTGGCGAGAGACGTGGCATGACACACCGTGTCCTGGCCGCACGCATAGCCGCGAGTTGTGGACTCTTTAGTGGAATGGCGCATGCGCTGCCGCGGCGCGAGATGATGTCGCTGGTGCTGGAACAGTCGCTGTGGCCTGCCCTGGAGCAGCTGCTGGAGGGGGAAAAGCAGCCTGACACGGAGCGGGGTTATATTACGACAGGCGTTTTGCGGCGGGTTGGAGATATTTTTCTGCCCGCCGAGGCCTTGGCGAAGCATGCTGCTGCGACGCACATTGAGGCAGCCTTTGCCGCGGGCGGCGGCGGCGGCGCCACGCTGGCGCAGCGGCTTTCAGAGGCGTTGCAGCTGCTGGAAGCGGAGGAGGCCTTTGGGGCCGTGCTTTGCGAGCGCAGCCCCCCATTCCGCACCCTCCGCCGCCTTCTCCCCTCCATGACTCCCTGAGCTGCGACGCAAACACACACGCGGGATGAAGTGCCAGCTGCCGTGCGAGGCGGCGACGCGGGCGGAAGCAGGAGGATTCTGCCGCCTCACGCCTTTGCGGGGTTCCCCTTTTGGCCTTGGCTTTCTGGCAAACGCATACGCTTTTCCCTCCCCCTCCCTCTCCTTGAAATGTTGTTTTCTGCATTTCTGCCCTCCTGCTCCACCAGCAGCTTTTTTCCGCCTCCGTTTTTTTTTCTATTATTCCCGTATCTGTGCATTACTTCTGCTGCGCAGAGGATCATTTTTATACTGCGTGAAAGAGTGAGCATAAATAAAGCGGCAGCTTCCCTCGCCTACATCCACACACGTGCTTGTGCTGCGCTACCAATAGATTGAGGCCACACGCGAAGGAAGGAGGAGCCGGACGCGGCACACCCACCTGCATACGCTTCCGCAGCAGCACACATGGCAGAGGAGCGTCACGACACCGCGTCGTCGGAGTCTGAGGACGGCGCTGCACGGGCTAAATTTGCCTTTTCGGAGGGTACTGGGGCCCCGCTTTCCCAACTGCCTGCAGTACAGGCGGTGGGCAGCCGTGGTGCGGCGTGCAAGCAGCTCGAGGCCCGGTTAGAGTCGTTGCACCGACTGGTGTTTGGGCGCGCTGGCAGGGCCGGCGAGCGGCGCCGCGCGTTGGAGGCATTTTGTGGCTTTCCAGAGGCGATGCGGGAGGCCGTCTCGCAGCGGGTGCATAAGCTGAAGAAGGAGAAGCTGCGCGAGCTCATCCAGGCCCTTGGCATGCCTGTCCACATCTCTAACACCCACGCGCAGGTGGCGGATGAGGTGGCGGCATTTCTTATGCAGCCGCGGGCGGCCGAGGTGAAACTGCGGACCCCCAGCAAAGCGCCTCAACCCCAAAAGAGGGCCGTGAGGCGGGGTCGCGCGGCGGCGGCGAGTGAAGGTAGTGAGACCGAAGCATTACCAGCGCAGAGGGCTGACGCGCCGGGGACGGCGAGTGAGGAGGCGAAGGAAACACCGAAGCGCGCGAAGAAGGAAGTGCCAGCGGCGGAGAGAGCATCGTCGGCGCTGCCCCCGAGCGATGATGCCATCCGTGTAGCGGTGTACAAGCGGGTTCTCTCCACACCGCGGGAGGAGCGGAGCAAACTCACCACGAAGGCACTGCGCTTAGAGCTGGAGCAGCTCTTTGGTGACCTTGAGGCACGCAAGGCAGTCATCAAGGAGTCAGCGTCGGAGTGCGTCTCGGGGCTGGTCGCGGCAGAGGAGGCGGCGGCAGCTGCTGTTTCTGCCTCTGCCTCTGCCGCCGTCCCTGCCGCCGTCCCTGCCGCCGTCCCTGCCGCCGTCCCTACCGCCGTCCCTACCGCCGTCCCTGCCGCAGCGGCGACGGCTGCTGTGGGTCGCGGCGGAGGCGACCACACGGTGGAGCCCTCTCCCGCCCCGCACCCGCCCCAGTTGGGGGAGCCGTCCACGTTGGGCGACTCCCGCAGCCAGGCCCCGCCGCGGAGCACGCCAGACGGGTCCGTCGCGCTGCCAGCGCTCGTGCCGACCTTTCCCGCACACCCACCGACGACATTGCCGGTCGTTTCCATCCCGACTCACCTGCCGCCCGGGGCACCCGACTTGTGAGACACACGACGAAAGCACACACATACCCGCCGGCGCACATGCGCATGGCACAACAGCAACGACAAGGAAGAGTAACGAAGGAAGCCGGGGGAGGGAACGAGGGCGGCACTTGAGGTCACACACCTCATGCGCAAATAGGACGGGAAACGTCTTCGCGTGTGTGCGTGGGGGGCCACCAGCAAATGGATGACGGGGGGCGCGGCACCTTTTTGCTGATCCCTCTCACAAAGAAGTAGTGATTGGAGGGGGGAGGTGCGACGCACTAAGGGGACGTGCTCACAAACAAGAAGCGGTTATAGATGCGGAAGGAAAAAACAAAACAAAAAAGAAGCACTGAGGAAAAAAAATGCACAAGAAAAAATATCGGTAGTCCACGTCGATGGAAATTCTGTCATTTTTTCTTTCTTTTTTTTTTGCTTTTTTTCTTTCGTTTTCCGTTTTTTTTTCTCTTTACTCCTCAGTTTTCTTTTTATGGTTTCTTTATTGTCTGCGCGTGTGAGTGTGTGTGCGCCCGCGGACCGCTTCTTGAGCCGTTTGTAGTGCCCCGCCGAATGGTTCGCCGCGGAATGCCGCCCCCACCGCCACCCCACTTCCAGCCCGTTCTCACTCTCTGTAAGTCTCTCTCTCTCTCTCTCTATGTGTGTGTGTGTGTGTGTTTCTCTCTCTTTATCTTTTGCGCAGAAGGAAGGATGCAGCTTTTCGTCAAGTCGGCGTCCGGCAAGACCATTGCCGTTCAGGCCTCCGCGCAGGACACCGTCGCCAGCCTCAGGGCTAAGGCCGGTGCCTGCGATGGCACCCTCTTCTTTGGTGGGCAGTGCCTCTGCGACGAGGCCGTGCTCGCCGCGTACGGCCTGCAGCGAGAGAGTACCATTCAGGTGATGGTTCCTGTGGAGGGCGGCAAGGGAAAGAAGAAGAAGAAGAAGGTCTTCACGAAGCCCAAGAAGCCGACGCACCGCCACAAGCTGGAAAAGATGCGGGCGCTCAAGTACTTCAAGGTGACGGAGAACGACGACGGCTCCTACAAGGTCGAGCGCACCCGGGACGAGTGCCCCAATCCGAGCTGCGGGGCCGGCGTCTTCATGGCCCAACACAAGGATCGCAAGTACTGCGGCAAGTGCTACCTGACGTACGCCGCCAAGTAGACCCGCTTCCGCGCCTGGGCGGTGGACAGGGAAGAGGCGACGCGACGGCAGCGACGGACGCCCGAACGCCGTGAAGCGAATACCCCTCCAGGAATTTCTCTCTTCGACGTCTGCCGATTGAATTGCCTCATTTCCGCTTTTCGTTTCCTTCAATTTTTCCATTTTCTTGTTGTTTTTGTTTCCTAATGTTTTATTCTTTTCTCGCGTCTTGTCGGCTTCTACTTGCGTGGCTGCGCCCCACCTGTGGCGAGGCGGACTCTGCAGGAGCCGTGCGGCACGCACGTGGCCTCGTCCTTCTCCTCTGCTCCCGCGTTTTTTCTTTTGCGTGTTTGTGTGTGTGTCTGTGCATGGGCGGTGTTGTGCCCGCGGCTCGCGTCGCAGGAGGCCCCAACGAGGCCCCCCTCAAGGCTTGAAAAGCAAAAAAACAAGGAAAAAAAATCAGCAGGCAAAAAATACCCCGCACATCAAATAAAGAGGGGGAAAGTGACAACAACAAGAAGAAAGGGGACGGAACAGAGTTTTTTTTTTCTGTTCCCATTTCTGCCTCCCTCTGGGCGTCCAGCTTGTAGCGTCGGCTTCGCGCGCCCATTGCCCTCCACAGGCCGGAGAAAAAGCGAGCGAAGGGGAAAGGAGCTCCGCGCAATGCAAGAAACCACGAAGCATCTGCTTGACGGTGTTGTGGGAATGACGTGTGTCGACCCCACACTCCACACATCCGTCAGCGCCGCCCCGCTTGTGGTCTCCATCATCACTCAGCAGTGCTTGTACCTCTGCCACACGGCCTCCTCTTGCCAGGCCCTTTTGAATGAGGGTGATTCCTCGTTTTGGCAAATTATGCGGCACGTGGCAGAGGCCCGAGCTCGCTACGTGGCCTTGCGTGCCCCACCTCCTCCAAAGCCCCTCCGTAAAAGAGTTGAGCCCCGGAGCGAAGAGCCCCCGCAGCCCTCCGCTGATCCCCTGAGAGACACTGACTCCACGAGTAGCCACCATAGCAGTCGTAGCAGTGAAAGTTGCGTCGAGGAGGGCAGGTTTAGCCCTGCGCGCCCTCCCCTGACACTCCCTCGGCTACAGTTGATGCTCTCACCACTCGAATTTCGTGTTGTTGTGGCCGGAGGCGGTAGAGTAGGGCGGGCCATTGTGGAGCGCTTGCTGCAGGCGTCGTACCTCATCCACCCGTCGCGAATCACCATCATCACACGACAGCCCGAGACCGTCGCGCAGTTTGCGGTTCGCGGGGTGCACTGCACGGGGCGGACGGAAGGGCGTCAGGCGCTGCTGGAGTGCCACGTGTTAATTGTGGCGTGCCAACAGACCCAGTTCTACGACTTTGCCAGCATATACTGCCCGTTTCGCACCCAGAAGCCGGCGGGGCCGCCGCGAAAGGCGGGGGGCGATAGTGAGGCGGAGCAAGACAAACTGTCGACGAAGAGGCGCCTGCGGCGCGTAAAGAAAAGGACACTGCGAGACGTTGTAGACAAGTGGCGGACCATCGAGGATAACGACTACGCAGACAACGTGCCCGGGGCCACCTTGACGCAGTTGCTGAAGCCGGGAACATTTGTCTTTTCCTGCTGCGCCGCGCTGGAAACGCGCAAGATTGCAAAGGAGCTGGGACACCTTGACCCCCTTGTCGTGAACGCCGATGTGGACCTCGACGCCGTCCACGCTGCCGCGCAGCAGTTGCAGAGCGGCAAGGAGGATTTTCGCTCAGCGTATATTCAACGCGTTAAACTAGAGGGAAACTCCTTCCTTACCGCACTCAATGTGCTGCAGCAGAAGTACTTGAACGGTGACGCCCCATCTGCCGATTTCGTCAGCAGAGACATCCTGCAAGATCCGTACTCGGCTGAGCTGCGCATGCAGGGCCGCAGACCCCGGCCGCCGCCGCCGCCTAGCATGGCTAAAGTGTTGAGAGGCGAAGGTGTTAGTGGTAGCACCTCCTTTCTGTTGCGTGTTTGGCGTGCGTTGCGGTGTTTCGTGGTGGTGCGGGTGGCGTCTCTCAAGGTGGCGGAGCACCGCCTGTTTACGTACCTGCAGCGCGTTGGGCCATTGCTTGGCCCCGTTCTCGTTGCGCTTCCAACCTCCAGCCAGGCCCGCGTTGTGGAGGTGCTGGGGGACGCGCTCAACCGCAAGGCGAACGAAGACGACGACGAGGGAGCTGCTCTGGAGGCACGGCCGCTGGTGAAGCTGGACAAGCGCGTTGTCATGGCTTGCGACAGTGACAGTGACAGTGACGACGACAACGACCATGAAGTGCCACATGCGGCAAGAGAGTTGGCGCGCCTCATTGCATGTTTTCCCCAAGTTTTTGAGAAGGAGGAGGTGGCGCTTCAGCAGCTGCGTGAGGAGTACATTGCCGTGACGGAGCGTTGAGGGGTGCGCGATGCGGCGCGAGGCATCACGTTGTCCTCGGTGTCTGTCATGGCCGTTTAATTTCCTTTCCGCTTTGTCGTTTGTTTCGCTTCTTCTTCTTCTTCTACCGCTGACTGTCTGCTGCCTTTTTCTTTGCAGGGGAGGAATCTCTTTCCGTTTAAAGTGGCTGAAACGCCCACACTGTCCTTCGTTTCCCCTTTTACGCTCACTCTCTTTCTTTCTTTCTCTCTCTCTCTTCGTTCCACGCGTGTGCAGCTTGCCTGTCGGTTAACGGCCCCACGCCGCAGCCAGCCAAGCGACGAAAGCCGAGAAGCGGCAGGCGGAGCTGCGGGAGGGACGCGGGAGTGCAGGCGGGAAGGGGGAGGGAGATTGAACTTCGCCCGCTCGCCACGTTATTCTCCTTTTCGGGCCAATACTCACCGCGGGGCCTATTTGTGTTGCTTCGCGACTCCTTGACTTCCCTGCGGAGGCGGGGGGAGGCAGCGGGACACCAGTGTGGAGGCGGGCCGACTGGGGCATGTCGACGCTGGAATCGTGCACGGATGCGTTGCTGCAGCAGAAGGTGGTGCAGACCAGCAACTACGAGCGACTGGAGTCGCGACTGATGGAGATGGAGCGGGCGAAGCGGTCCCTCTTCTTTGGCTTGAAGGAAATCATCACAGACGTCGAGCGCCGTCGACAGGACTTGGGCGAATTGCAGGAGGAGAGTGCGCGGCTGCAGCAGCAGCTGCAGCAGGGCTCCGTGAAGTTCAGCGCGCTTGCGGCGTTCATGGGCGAGGAACAGAAAAGGTCCATTCGTCTGCAAGAGGCGCTGGAGAGTTCTGCAACCGCATGGACCGGGTGCCCGGCACGCGCGGCTTTCCTGTTTCGGGCGCTGCAGGAGCGTCACGCCTTTTGTCGCCAGCTGGTGGATGTTGTCACAGCACTAAATCGCGTAAGTGCCCTGGTGGAGGTGGTGCAGCGCGTGGACGCCGCAAAGGGTTTCCTGCAGGAGCGGTTGGAGCGTCTCGCAGCCGGGGCGGAGCGGCTGGACGGCATGCTGCGCGAGAGTCACAAGGCGGAGGAAACGCGGCAGGCGGAATTGCAGGGGCGCAGCAGTGCAGCGGGGGCCGAGGTCGCTCGGGTGTGGCGGGATTCCCAGGGGAAGGAACGCCAGCTGCTCATGCTTCAGGCGGCGTTGGCAGAGACGCGTCTGTCGTCTGTCGCGGGGGAGGAACTCAACGCAGTGTACAGAATGGCGTTGCAGCTGGCCTTATCGACCGCCGATGCGTGCTGCGCTGGGCGGGAACGCATGGCGGTTGCTTCTGCGTACAGTGAATGCCTCTGCGCCTTGGGGCGGGAGAACCTCGCCGCCGTGGAGGCGCGAACTCGCATGCTGACAGGCGTCTTGACAGATCACATGGCGGCGTTGGACGCGAAGCGGGAGGACGTCGTCGTGCAGCGTGAGCGGGCCCTGCAGGAGACCACGCTCTTGGGCGAAAAGCAGGAGGCGCTGCGCGGGGCGGCGGTTGCCGTGGAGCACCGCATTCAATCCCTCCAAGTTGTGCGCTCTGCCCTTCGGCTCTTTCGCCGGAGGCAGCGCGCACGTCGTCTTCGCTTGTGCGGCGAACGGGCTGAGCGCAAGGAGGCAGTTGTGTCCGCGAGGGCGGCCCATGAGGCGCGTGTGTCGGCCCGGCGATTTCGTGCCCTGCAGCAGGAGGCGCGCGAGGGACTCGTGGCGGAGGAGACGCTTGTGCGGGGAACTGTGGAGGGGACTGAGGCCGACGAACGCCGTGGGGCGTGTGCGCAGGCCGCGGAGTCACTTCTGCAGGCACGTGCCACAGAGGCAGCGAGGGAGGCGGAGGCAGTGAAGGCGGCCGCAGCGGCGTGTGTGCCCAAATCACCCCCAGAGCAGCAGCAGCAGCGGCAGCAGCGGAGGGCGGCGGTGAAGAAGGACGCTCACGACGCGGGTGCGCCCTCCACTCGTCACACCACGCCGAATAAACCTGCGAATAGACGAATAGGCCGTGCCAACAATGCTCTGTCGCAGACGGACAAGAAGCGTCCGCGCAGCCATGCCGCTTCCTCGGCCGCTGCTGTCGCGCGCCGGACGTACCCGGCGTCCACGCAGCAACAACAACAGCAACAAAGGTACGACAGCGATGCCGCGTCCGATTCTTCTGCGAATTCACTTGGCGACTTCTTGACTCTCGGTACACGTGTGCCACTCAGCGCACTAAAGTCCACCGCACGCCGCACCCCGCTGCAGCAGCTCCCAGCAAACATTGTCAACCAATGTGGAACTGGGAAGCAGAGGGAAGCTTCGCGCATGGGCCTGTTGCCAGATGCGGCGGTGCAGCGCGTTCACTTTAACTCTCCACTTCCACGGCCGCCCGGTAGCGGGGCTGCCGTGTGCGCCCTGAGCAGCGCACTAAGCTCCGCGTTCGCACGCGCAGGCGATGCGGCAGGAGGGGCGGCGGGAGCTCACTCCGCGAGAAACAACGCTCGGCCGCGGGGAGCGAGGCCTCGTCCCTCCGTGCTGGTTTCAAAGGATATTTGGGGTGAGGGGAAGGCTGAAGATGTCTTTGCCGATGCTTTCTCGCTTTAATGCTTCCCCCGCAGCTGCGTTTGTGTCGTGTCACCTTTCTCTCTCTCTCTCGCTTTGTTTTTTTTTTCGACCCCCGCGTCACGTGTGCGGTAAGACAGATGATTACTATTATTATGTTTTTATTTTTCTCCTCTTGGGCTGGTTGTTTGTTTTATTTTATTTTATTATTATTTTTGTTACTTGCGGGTGCTCCTTCCTGCTTTCCTGCCGCCCCTTTGCTTCCGGCGGGGCGCGTTGCGGGGTCAGTTGTTGTTCTTGTTTTTTTTTTCTTTGCTTTCTTCTCCGCTTTTTGTCGCCCCTCCCCTTCCGGTGCGTCGGGCGCGGGGGAAAAAATGGACGGGCCCATTTTTTTGTTTCCTTTTTTTTTTTTTAAATGTGCGTGTGTGCGTTTTTGTTGGCTTCTGCTGCATCCCCGGCGTCGTCTGTGCCGCGTGTGTTTCTTCTGGGAGGACTTTTGCTCCGCCTCTTCTTTTTCTTCTCTGTGCGTGTGTGTTTGTGTTGGCCCGCAGTGTTGTTTGCTGCCGGCGAGGGGCACCCCAACCTTCTCGCCTCCCCCCCCCCTGGCGCTACCGCCGCTCGACGCACCCGCGCGGCTCCAGGACCCACACAACACCACAGGCGCCGCTGGTGTGTGGCGGACAGTTTTTTTTCTTTTTTTCTTGGTGTTTGTGTGTGCGTGTGTGTTTTGGCACCTCCCCCCGTCGCGCGGCGCACGTAGTTGCCGGCAACGGGGTGAACCCAACGCGGCCGGAAGCTGCGCGGCGTCCACGACACGGCTCGCGCGTGATTGCAGGTGCGCGGAGGCCCCGAGGCCGCACGGAAATCGCCCCTGCCCGGGAGCCGACTTCGCCCTCGTTGTTTTTGGAGGGGGCAAAATTGGCGGAAACGAAAGGGCACCGGCAAAAACACCGGCACAAGCAGCAGCAACGGCTCAAAAAAGCCCCAAGCCTTGCGGGGGTTGCGTGCGTTTGGCGTCTTCCGCCGGGCACGAGAGGGACATCGTCGCCATACGCGGCGTGTCTGGTGGGTTGGCACCCACAGCCAGACGCTCGTGCGGCTGCGAGGCAGAGGCACAGGGCTCGGAGTAGGGAGTGGCGGCGTGTGTGCGCTAAAATATAAACCCGTGCCCACACCGGCAAGGCAACAGAAAAAAAAAGACTAGTCAAGCAAGTGGCGCACGAAACACAAAAACAAAAAGCTGCGAGGGCAGGAACGAAAGTGCCGGAAGCTGAATATCAAAAACAACAAAAGAAAACTTACTAACACAGAAACTGCAACAAAAAAAGGGTTTGACCGCGTGAATAATAGTCTGGGTATGTACACTTCTGTGACTTCGGGCAGGACAAAGTTGAACTTTGAAAGGCGTGTCATCGGAGCATCTTCTAGGCTACAGCGTGATGCCTACACAGGGGCGCATGCTGACTGTGCGCGGCCAAACTGCAACAGTGCGTTACTGGTGTCTTATAACTTAAGTAGCCCCTCACTTGCTAGTGCGCCGCGTTCCGCGCAGAGCTGTGGAATGGAGGTCTTGACAGCCGACCCTCCGCTGTTGCTGGATAGTGGCACCTCCTCACTGAGCCACACGCGGCACCAGAGTTCGTCGCTTTGCCTCTGCAGGGACGTCGACTGCTACGTGCAGGATGATAGTGTCGTGGTGGAGGCGGGGGAGTCGAACAGCCCGGTGGAGGGCCCAACATCTTCTGAGTCGTTTCCAGTGCGCATTGCCCCCGCGTTATTGGCAAAGGAATGCTTCCCGGCGACCTCATGCGAGGGACGGTTTACCCCCTCGCCGGAGATGTCGCCCGGCGGCCGCGCCAAGAAGGAGCCCGCGAAGGAAAGCGATGGTGGCAGCAACAAGTCCGCTTCGCGGTGGCGTCACTGCAGCCTGTCTGGTGTGACGCACAGCAGTGTCACACGTTCGCAGGATTCCGAGGAAAAGGGCCCCATGCATGTTAGCCTTGCGCACAAGGCGCTTATAGGTAAAGGCAGTTTTGGAGTTGTCTTTCAGGCAATGGATCGTGACACGAACCACATTATAGCCGTCAAGGAAATCGCTTTTTTGAATGGGACGGAGAGCAAGGCACTGGAGGCAGTGCGGAAGGAGCTTGCACTACTCAAGCTTCTTGACCACCCACACGTTGTGAAGTGCCTGGGGGAGGAGTTGGACGAAGGTTGCCTGCGTATCTACATGGAGTACGTTTCTGGGGGCAGCATCAGCAGCGTTCTCCGCATCTTCGGCCCCTTTCAGGAGAAGCAGGCCTCCATCTATACAAGGCAGATGCTGGAGGGGTTGTCTTACCTGCACAGTAGGAACATCATGCACCGCGACCTCAAGGGAGACAATCTCCTTGTGGATCCAAATGGCACACTAAAAATATCTGATTTCGGCACCGCAAAGAATCTTCTGGACCCTAATGTTACCTTGGCGCCGGCGGGAACGGCGTATTTCATGTCGCCGGAGGTAATTCTCTCCCAGGATGTGGGGCTGAAGAGCGACGTGTGGTCTGTTGGCTGCTGCGTGATTGAGATGTTGACGGGGAGACCGCCCTTTTCGGCGGTGAAGAATCAGTACGCCACGATGATGCTGGTGGCGGAGACGGAAGGGGAGTTGTTTCCCAGCATGCTTCCAAAGGGGCACAAGTTTTCTGCCGCGGCGATGGCTTTTTTGCGGAGGTGCTTGCAGCGAGACCCCGCGGCGCGCGCGGCGGCGCAGGAGCTTCTGAGTGACCCATGGATTCTGAACCCGCCGGAGGGTGGGGACTCCACGCACCGTAGCCATCGCCCCAGCAATGAGACGACCCCACCTGATGGAAGCAGCAGCGACAGTGCCGAGACGCAGAAGGCCTTTCCACAGCAGGAGCCTCCGGTGCTGCAGAAGCGGCAAGAAGATGCTGCTGCTGCGCCTCTCCCCACCTCGGGAGCCCACAAACGCCGGTCGGCGAAGGCGGGGCGGCGGCGGCGGCAGCAGCAGCAGTAGTAGTAGTAGTGCCAGTAACTAAGCGCCAACAAGGATCCAGTTCGCGGAACCAAACGAGTTTCTTTCAATTAGGGGAATAAAAAGAGTGCGTGTACGGTTTTGTTAGTATTGAAATTTATGTTTGCTCCCGGGTTTGACGTAATAAGTAGCTGAGAATACGAAAGCGACAAAAACGGAGGCGTTGAGGGTACGCGCATGCATAGTGGATGACGTCATCTGGTGCCGTGTCCAGGAGGTTTCGAATGTTGTGGTAACGAGAGAGTTAGCTGCTTCATTGGAACTTTACTTTGACATCAGGTAATAAATAATATAAAAGTGGTGCAGTTTGTTTCTTTGTTTTTTTTGTTTTTGCTTGTTTGTTCCTCTTCGGTCTCCACTTTCGCGACCGTTGCGTTTTTTTTGTAGATGCCTCTGTTTGCTCTATTGTTATTTTCCTTTCTCCCTCTTGCGGCTTGCGTGCTTTTTTTCTTTTCCTTTTTTCTTTTTTCTTCTCACCCTCGTGAACACCGGCGCTGCTCCTTGGCAGAGGCGTACTGAGAGTTGCACGCCCCCAATTTTTCCTTTTGCCTGTTGTTGTTTTTGTTGTTGTTGTTTTTGTTGTTGTTGTTTTTGTTGTTGTTGTTGTTTTGCCGGTTTTTTTTGTTTTATCTTCCTCTGTCCGCGGTAGATACTTTTTTTTTTTTTTTGCATGCCCGTCACCGTAGCCTCCTCCTTGGGCGCGGCCCGTTGCTTCTTCACCGCCCGCAGCGGGTTGAGCTCCTCGCACACGGACACGCACCTCCTGCCGTCTTCTTTTGCCTTGCTTTTTTCATCTGCCCTTTTTTCTCCCCATTCGCTTCCCCGGCCGCCCCCCCGCCGCTTCCGCCACTTTTTGTATCGCCTCGGGGGCCGAAATAATAATAACGGCAATGAAATAAAAGGCCGAGGCTGGC